TCACTGTAGGGCGCGTGCGCTCGCCAGACAGACAGAGAGAGACATAGAGACAGAAAGCGAGAAATCACCCCCCCAGGGGGGATGGTCACGCCGCAATCTCTTCTCCTCCATTCTCCTCTCGGGATCTTGGGCACGCACGCACACGCGCCCGGCGTGAGTTTTAAACCACCGGGTCCGGGACACGAACCGCGGTCGACTACGTGGGAGTCCAGCGACATAGCCATTACGCTAACTGCTGGTTCCCAATGTTCATCTCTTTAGTAACCAAAGATGTTCATCTTTTCATGTGCTTATTGGGAATTTATAAATCTTCTTTAGAGAAACACTATTTAACTCCTTTGTCTATATAAAAAATAAATGACTGGTTCTCTCATTATAGAATTTGAAAGTTTTATTTGTTTGCTTTCTACTATCAGAGGGTCAATATGTGCATGCATGAGAGAAACAGAGACAACAAGACCAGAGTAAGAGTCCCAGTGAGACTGCTTACGCTACAGTTACATTTTCTCGATTCCTTCATCCTGTCGTGACTCTGGACACAGTGTGAACATGCACCCAGAATGTTTTTCAAGCTTGTAGATTAGGATTTGAACCACAGTTAACCATGTGGGATCTGGCTCCCTTCACAGCATCTATTGACTATACTATGGGCTGGACTAAGAGTTCTTTAGTCTAGATCTAAGTTCCTCTTCAAATGTATGATTTGCAAATATTTTGTACCAAATTTCTGGGATGCTATTTTTAAAAATCATTTTTAACCCTCTTGATGTCATTTGAAATACAAAAGATTTTAATTTCAATGAAGCTATCTTTTGAATTTAGATAAATTATATTTTTATTCTTTCAGTTGAATTTTACTTAAAGCTTTAAAACATATATAATTTCAGTATTTTAACATGCATTATAAAAAAATTAGAGAGTGTTAAGAAACATATCCATATTTTTATGTATTCCAAAAATGCTCAAATTCCATTTATTGTTGAATGTATCAGCCTACTCATTATTTCAATATACAAAATGTTTTCGTCAAAAGGTATTAATTGCAAGAAAACAATAAGTAGCATGAAAGTAACTATATTAATATTTTTTAGAAATACTAATACTTGTAAGTATGTGTGTGATTTGAGAGGAGCCAGATAATGTTCTTTATGCCTTCTGTAGTGATTGACAATTTCTCATTTAGGCCAAAGCTGTCTCCATTAGAACTGAAAAATCTATGAGGAAATATTTTCAGATGATAAAAAAACAAGTCTATTTGAAATGATCTCTATATGTGAAAGAACATGTATAAATAATGGGCCTTTCATTTAGAATAGGTCAAATAGGGGGACCGGCAGATTGTGTAATAGTTATCTCACCAGACTCCCATGTAGTCAACCTCAGTTCAAGTCCTGGACCTGGCAGCTTGAAACTCATACTGGATGCTTGTGCTTGCATGCCCAAAATGACAAGAGGAAACTGGAGGAGAAGGGATTATGGTGTGGCCAGCTCATCTGGGGGTTGATCTTTCTGTCCCTGGCAAGTGCACACACTCTATACACTCTATAGCAAAAACATCTTAAAAAATAAAAAGAAAGAAAGAAAAAAAGAAGAAAAGAAACAGGTGAAATAACTTTCACTTTGATATATTTAAAATGTATTTATAGTTATCTCTTTGATTATCATTATTTCTGCTATGTAAATTTCAGGAGGAAAATATGGAAAAGACTTGATTTTTCCTCCCTGGAGATCCATATGTTTTGGAGAAGTTTTTGCTATAGGGCCCATGAGCTCACCAGAATGACAGAGAGAGACAGAGAGACAGAAAGCGAGAAATCACCCCCCGGGGGGATGGCTATGCTGTAATCCCATCTCCTCCATTCTCCTTTCAGGGTCTTGGGCACGCACACGCGTCTGGCGTGAGTTTAAGCTGCCAGGTATGGGACTCAAAACAGTTGACTACATGGGAGTCCAGCGACATAGTCATTACGCCAACTGTTGGTCCCACAATCTTATACTTTTATAAAAAGAAAGCAATGCATAAAGGTTGAGTAATGGTCACAATATCCTGTGTCTATTTATAGGTAATAACAGATTAGAATTTTTTGACTTTAAATCTGCTTTTGTTATTTGTCTGTTTTTTTTTTTTTTTTTGGGGGGGGGGAGGTTTTTGCTATAGGGCGTGTGCACTCACCAGAAAGAGAGAGAGACAGAAAGCAAAAAATCACCCCCCAGAGAGGATGGTCATGCTGCAATCCCTTCTTCTCCATTCTCCTCTCGGGATCTTGGACACACACGCACACGCACCCGGCGTGAGTTTTAAGCCACCGGGTCCGGGATGTGAACTGCGGCCGACTACGTGGGAGTCCAGTGACATAGTCATTACGCTAACTGCTGGTTCCCTCTGTTTTTGATAATAAAGATAAACTATAGATAAATATTTAGTCAAACGATAGCATTTTTTAATGGTGGAATTTCAATATTTGGTTCTGGGTGGAGCATTTATTACTTTTTTTTTTGGGCCGAGCATTTATTACTTCTTTAACTAAACCACATGATCAGGGAACATTTTGTCCTATGAGTATAAAATTGGTTAATTCTTTAGGAATAAAGACTACAATATTTTAAGGGTAAATATGATTATTTAGGAGGACAGTGCTTATTGTATTTCACTTTTGATATAACTTTGAAGCACCTAATATTATTTTCTGTATATAAAGTTTTATATTCTGTATTTCATTGTTTTTCCAATAACATAAATGAGGGTATTACCTGCCACAATTCTTCTTCTGTCAGTGGCTTTGACTGGATACAAAACTAACTAAGCCAAGGAAATCATCCTACTTTAAATAGCAGATTCTTCATCATTCCCAACTGAAAAGTTCTCTGCTTTGTTGGGAGTTTTGAGTGGTTGTTTTTAAGATGCTTCTAAACACAGGAGTTATCTGGATAAGAATCAAAATCATTATATTAATGAAGTTAATAATTTTAAAAGTCACTGAGTTTAAAAGAATAAATCAAATTAAATCACAACTGTATGTCAGTAGACTGGGAGTTCTTGCAGGAGAGGGACCTTGTCATGTCCATCTCGGTCTGCCAAGAAGCTTGTCACTCCTACTTTGTGTATTATCTCTCTCACGGGCTCTAGCTTTCATGAGTCTGGAGTCCGTTTCTTTTACATGTTTTTCCAGAGCACGGCATCTATTCTGAAATAATGATTCCCTGTTGAATGATCAAGTCAGTTGTTTTCATACACTCTTACTGTTTTTGAAAATAGAGGAGATTCAATTAATTAATTCCACAGGTCTTGTTCCCAATGAATTTGTAGTTACAAATGAGATAAGTACGTAGTTGCGAAATACAAATTCCGTCATATAAAGCCAAACTTGGGGTTTGTATGGTTACCAAAAATCTCATCAGTGTTTTATTTCCATGTATTATTCTCAACTTGCTAAGTGTGTGTGTTATTTAAATTGCTATTGATACATAGGTAGCATTTGAATTAGGGGTGGTTTGGCGCTTCAAGGCAACTTGCTAAGTGTGTGTGTTATTTAAATTGGCATTAATACATTGGTAGCATTTGAATTAGGGATGGTTTGGCGCTTCAGGGAAAAAAATTGATTCCCCAGCCCCAAGCACTTAGATTTCTGACCAACTGAGGTGGTTTACAACTGGTCCTGGTTTATCATTGGCTGTTACTAAAGACA